CAATGAACAAGATAGAAAAGGCTCCTGCTCTGTGAACCTTATGGAGGTGGTAATTTTACATAGACATAAGTGGTGTGAGGAGAGTTCGACAAGATAATGTGGTAATGGCTCGGGGCTGTTTTTAATAAATGATTGGGGAAGGCTTATGTGAGGCAGCATGAGAGAGCCAGCCAGGTGTGACTTCACATGCAAACATTCATAAAATCAGAATGAGTTACGCACATTGCAGGAACAAAGGACCATCAGTATGGCTAGAAAGATGTGACCAGGAGATCAAGTGATTGAATACAAGAGGGAAAGAGAGAGAGAGAAGGAGGGAGAAGGAGAAAGAGAGGAGCCAGATTATGCAGGATCTTGAAGACCATGTTAAAGAGATTAGATTTCATTTTAAATGAATTAAGAGACCATTAGAGGACGATTTTGAATGAGGAAATGAGATTATCTTTTCTATGCATTTAAAATGTCATTCTGGTTCTTGTGTTGAGAATAACATAGGGGAAAGACTCTAAGCAGAGAGAACATTTAGGAAACTATGGGGAAGTCTTGTGAGACAGAATGGTAGATGATAAGAAGAGATTACATCTGGGACTCAGATTAAAGTGAGCATTCTTCACACTTGCTAAAGTATAGAATGTAGACAGGAGGGCAAGAAAATAATCAAGCATAAGTCTTCTGTTTCTGTGTTGAGAAATTGAGTGAAAAATCCTGCTATTTTATAAGTTGGGGAAAGCCAGGGAAAAAATTTTTTTTTTCATTATGGAAAGGGAGGTCGAGTTCCATATTGGACATACTAAGTCTAGGACATATTAGATGTTTATAATCCTTGCAAAAATTTTACAAGATTGATATTAGCATTCCATTTTACAGGCAAGGGAAATAATATTCAGGAATGCATTAAGTCTTTGTGGGGATCGCTCCCGTGTGGGGCCCCTAGGAAATGGGCCTCGCAATACGGTGAGCTTAAGCCTGAACACAGATCCCCGGTTGGGGGAGTCGAGCTGAGGGAAAGCAGGAACCGAGAGAGGGACTATGTTATTCTAAATAATTAACAGACATTACTTTATGGATATGAGGACTTGGGAGGCAATGTGTCCACTTTCGGCTCCTTATGGTTTATTGCTTGATTGTGTTCATTTTGGACCCTTGTCACCTTCATTGTAAAATATTAACTTAAGTATTTACTCTTGGTAACTTACTTATCGTAACTTACTGGGTGTAACTGTAACTTACCATAACTTACTGGGCGTGACTGTAACTTACTTACCTTGACCTATTGGGCATAACCTACTTACTTACTGGAAGTAACCTACTTACTGGGCATAACCTACTTACTGGACTTACTTACTGGGCGTAACTTAGTGGGCGTAACTTGCTTACTGTAACTTAAGTATGTTGATCTGGAGTAAACAAGATTAACTTCAGAAAAGTATATAAAGGAACATATTGCAAAAATAAAATTGCTGCTTGGACATAGCCTAAGCCAGCCCTCCAGACTCTGCTTTTCATTTTTTTCTTTCACTTCCGTGCACTCTCTCCCTCAGGTTGAACGAGACATCTACGTTGGCAGTCTCGGGGACTCCTGCAGGTCAGTAGACCCCCGGCAGACATGCCAGACCCCAACAAGTCTTGTCATCCTGAGAAGTGAAACTAGAATCCTTTCTTGGGTCTTGCTAGTATCATAGGACCTGATACTGTGGTCTTCAATGTTTGTGTCCCTCCAGAATGTCTATGTTGAAATACTAACCACCAAGGTCATATAGGAGGAAGTGGGGCCTTTGGAAGGTGATTAGGTCACGAGGGTGGAACATTCCATGCAAATGATTAGTGCACTTAAAAAGGAGACATGAGGGAGCTAGGTTGCTTTTTCCACCATATAAGGACACAGTGAGAAGACACCATCTATGAACACGAAAGTGGGTCCTTGCTAGACACTGAACCTGCTGGAATCTTGATTTTGAATTGCCCAGCCTCCAGAACTGTGAGAAATCAATTTCTTTTATGAACCACCCAGTTTATAATATTTTGTTATAACAGCCCAAACAGACTGAAATACCCAAGGGGCTTTAAAAGTGCCCTATTGCTTCCATATATGGTTTCCAATAGATTTGAGGATCCTTCCTTGAGGTCAGAGGTTACTCAATAGGATTCTCCATAACATTTAACCTCAGCTATGTAAAACGTGTTTCTGTAAAAGCAAATCATCCTAAATATTTTACAGTCAAGATATTACATGTAAGTGTTACATTGGGAACTTTGAAAGTGGAGTCACTTTGCTCTGACTCGAGGATTACAGTCTTCCTAAGAGGCATCCTTCCATATCCTTCACAAAGAAGGTAAACTGGGACAGTCGGAAGAGTACCTTTCATCTTTATACTGAGGTACCTGAGAACTGCTTTATTGTGTGGCTTCGAGGAAAAGCAAAGCTGTTGTGTTGGTGAGCAAAATAAAAGAACTAAAAAAGTAGGCAGACTTCGCAAACATATAAATTACAATATAACAGCCTGCCTTAACAATCTCTGCATCATGTGTTGAAATTCATTTTCATTGTGGCCATCTTAAAAGCTATGGTTTTATTAATAATTTAAGTGGCTGTGATAAAGATGGCCTAAGTATATGTCACTTTTTAAAACACTGACATTTTTGTATTACTAAAAGCCTTTATAAATTATATAGTAACCTTCCTGATTCTAATAGCTTGAATCTTCCTATTCATTAGCCCTGTGAAACATTCATAATAGTCTCTACCTAGGGTGTGATTTTTCACTGTACTTATAGAGCTTCCATTTATATTAATGTGTGTATGCATAACAAGAATAACCCTTTAGTTTTCTTAAACTTTCTTTTTTTTTTTTTTTGAGACGGAGTTTCACTCTTGTTACCCAGGCTGGAGCGCAATGGCGCAATCTCGGCTCACCACAACCTCCGCCTCCTGGGTTCAGGCAATTCTCCTGCCTCAGCCTCCTGAGTAGCTTGGATTACAGGCACGCGCTGCCACGTCCCGCTAACTTTTTGTATTTTTAGTAGAGATGGGGTTTCACCATGTTGACCAGGATGGTCTTGATCTTTTGACCTCGTGATCCACCTGCCTCGGCCTCCCAAAGTGCTGGGACTACAGGCTTGAGCCACCGCGCATGGCCAGTTCTCTTAAACCTTCTAATAGTTGCTATGTTATATTGCAGAAGTAGCCATGTTTTTATGAGTACATTTCTTATTTCAGTTGATCCAATCTGCCTTTTCTTTTTCTAAAACTGTTAAGCTGGATATAGAACTTTGATCTTTTTCAGTATTCTGCTTAAGTGAACCTTGCAGGGAGCAAAATGATACTTGCACAAAAACTGCAGGGAAGACAAAGTGCATATGGCAAACTATTTTCTCAGACAGTTGCGCCCTTTGATTCCGTCCAGTTCAGTGATTAAGGCAATAATTAAGAGTACACGATCTGGAGTCCCACTGTCTGGGTTCAAATCCCAGATCTACCAGTTATTAGCTCTCTGAGTCTGGGCTTCATCTGCAAAGTAAGAGTAATAGTAGTATCTCCTTCAGAGATTGTTTGAAGATTTAACCAGTAAATACACCTTTGTTTTTCTTCCAATCGTTTCTGGAGTTTGACCACAAATATGTGATATGTATTTAATTTTCATTTTACCAGCTATTTAATCTTTTTCCCCTTAAAGCAGTTGTCATTCAACAGAGAGAAAAAAAAAAATCACAGTTCATGGCCTGGTTGTGGAAATGAGTAAAGAGAAGATGGAGCTAATTCAGAAACATGCATCAGTACTATGCCTCACAAAAGTAGGAACATATAAACTTCAGCTGAAGATTGTTTAAATATGTGAGAGTTGTTAACCATAACATGCTTGGCATCTGAGAGATAATGTCTGAGTGGCAGAAACAGTGCTTTCTCAACTGAATTGCCTCTGCCTAATTATGTACTGGGAAATCAAGCAGAATTTGAACTAATATGTTTTTCAAGAAATTATAAGGCAGAAAATGAATCCATGCACTATTCCACTGATCTGTAAGCACAACTATTTAGAGGTCATCATATCCTGAGCATTCTATGGGTTCCTAAATATAGCAACAGCCTTGTGATTGTTTTCCAATACTACACCAAGATCTGGCTCCTGATCTACCAAAACAAACATTTTGTGGAATCATGAATAGTAATAGAGAACAATACTATGCTTAGTATTTCCTTTGCCTGGAATTCTCTTCCTCCAGCTATCTGCATTTCTATGTCCAACATTAACTTACACAGGCTCTAAGGGACCACAATATAGAAAAATGAATATACCATCCCACTGCCCTAAATTCTATCCCATTGTTTAGGTTTACTTTTCTTTATAGCTCTTAAAATCACTAGACATATTTTACATTTATTCATAAGATTTGAGACTGTTGTTTGGTCACTGTACATCCCCAGTTCTTGGTAAAGAGTCAGTGCTAAATAAACACCTAAGTAAATGAATCCATTTATCTTCGCATTCAAATATTATATATGTGATCTATATGACAATGTTCGCTTTGCACATTTTGGGGAACCATGAAAATGACTGCACAACCTGAATCCAGGCAAACCAATCTTAATAATTGATGTAAAAAAACTATGACTGTGTATGACCTTTCAAGTTTTTTGTGAAATATTCAAAACTTCTGTCAGTTATGAATGTATAGGTATGTTTAAAAAATAGTAAAATTGACATTTATTTAATACAATATAATCAAAAGCAGTAGAAACTTGAAAATTAAAATGTTTTATTTCTTTGTAAAACATTTATCAAGAGTAGTTTGAACAGTGCTTGCTTTCTTCTTGTTATATGACTTACAATAGGAAGAAAGCATTTTTATACCTCGGGGAATTGTCAGTCTCCTTTTTAAGTTTAAATCAGCTTCCAGTATTGCACGCTTTGTGCTTTCAATGTCATGACATTTCTAAAATTCCTTTAATTCTTCATCTTTTTCATCACAACCACTTTGCTCATTTATGCTGATGAACTCACCTTTACTGAGTCGCTCTGGCTGTCTATCTAGAGCTTCTGGAGCTGTGGCAGGTGTAGAAGCTCAGGGGATGTTTCCCCTTCACCCTCTGAGGGTTTGCTGGAAAATCAGCTGACAAAAGGCAGGTTAATTGGAGAAAAGGCATACAAATTTATCAATGTGCACATGGGAAACAACCACAGAGTTATTACCCCAAATCCTTGTAGGGGCTCAGAGCATGGCCAAAAGCAGGTTATGGTGGTAAATCCAGTCACATTGGCAAGACAGGTTATGGCAGTGTGGAGATGAAGAAGGCTGGCTATCAAAGGCAATCTCGTCACCTAGGTGAAATCTGAGACAGAAACCCTCAGAGAGGATAGACAGTAATGTTTTTTCAGACCTTCAAAGGGGTCAGACTCTAGGTTCATCTTTCCTAGGTCTAGACAAGGGAAAGCTTCAGAGAAACCTGGCTGCATCAATGTACATTCTCTACAGGTGCAAATCTCCCCCTCAAAGAGACAGCTTTGCAGGGATACTTCTATTCGCAGGCCATCTGAATAGCCACCTCAAAATATCTTTAAAACCTGTATTTTGGGTCAGGTGCAGTTGTAGGAGATCAGTCAGGGTGGTGAGAAAAATTATAGGAAAGACACAAATCTTCTTGGAAGGCTGGGAGATTTTGCAAAAGCTTGCGGAAAGGATATGGCTGAAGGCAGCTGAATCCTACCTGAGCTAATGGCAGAGGGCAGATTAAAAGGGAGTGCAAAGGAATTTATATAGAGGGTCAGGCGTGGTAGTTTATGCCTGTAATCCCAGCAGTTTGGGAGGCCAAGGCGGGTGGATCAGGAGGTCAGGAGTTTGAGACCAGCCTGGCCAACACGGTGAAAGCCCATCTCTACTAAAATGCAAAAATGAGCTGGGTGTGGTGGTGCATGCTTGTAATCCCAGCTACTCAGGAGGCTGAGGCAGGAGAATCTCTTGAACCTGGGAGGTGGAGTTTACAGTGAGCAAGATCACACCATTGCACTCCAGCCTGGGCAACAAGAGTAAAACTGCATCTCAAAAAAAAAAAGAAAAGAAAGAAAAGAAAAAGAAAAGGAATTTGTCTAGATAGGTTTGTTTACCTATTTCTCTGGGAACCAAGCTTTGATCATCTGTGTGCACGACTGCCCCCTACCTCAGGGGGTCAACAATGTTAATTACCCACAAATTATATTTGTTCCAGGCCTTTGTCGTTAAATCTATACTAAATAAATGCGAGCGTCTCTGGCTTGTTGGGGCCCACACTTCCTCATTGCGGGTGCTAGGCTGTCTGGTTCCCTAGCCACGCTCACAGGCAAAATACCTGTGTCTGCATACTCCTTTCATCAGTCACTCGGCCAGAGTCTGTGGGACAGACTCAACAGCTGGTGCCCTGCGTGAAGAATGCTGCAACGGATTGCAACGGATCCCTCAATAACGAAGGTGAAGAGACTGCGCAGCCAGTAAGTCAGTAAGTCATTGGTGCCCATGCAAGATTTCCAAGTTCGAGGGGATTGTTCAAGCCAGGGTTTCATCATAAGACAACAGTTATCAGCACAACAGAAACAGTATATAAAAGTATTGAAACAGCTGCTTAAAGCTAGCAGAGCCTGGCTTTCACAATCTCAATGAACAGATCCAATGTAAACTGTCGTTTCCCATAACCTATGGTTCACGGAAGAAGGCACGCTGGACGTAGAGCTCTGGGAACTAGTGGAGAGAAATCCTTAACAAAATCATGCACAAAGGCAATGGGTCCGAGTAACATCTTTAACATTATGAGTCTTACTTAGGGCTCTTTTGCCCCCACGTGACACTGAAGAGCCTAAAAAAGGAAGGGAAGAGGAACTGCCACCTCTCTTACTGACTCCTCCTTCTCCCTCAGCACCAACATTACCAGGTAAAAATACCAAAGAGGAAACAGAGGTTTTGCCTGAGCCCCCTTCCCCAATAAACTGGCAAAAGGACAAGGGAGACATTATAGCTATGAGACCCTGTCTTAGGCAAGTGGCATGAGAAGGGGAGTTCTTGACCTGCCCAGTAATGCAAGATTGACAAGGCAATGAACCCATTTCTTTTGATGCTTATAAAGAGATAAGAAAAAGCATTAGAGAAAATGGAGCCTCTAGCCCATGTACAAAAGGATTCATTGAAGCCATAGCAAACAACTTTTATATGAGGCCATAGGACTGGTCAGTGCTAGCTAAAAGCACTTTAAATACCAGTCAAGACCTCCTCTGGAGGGCAGAATTTGATGAATTAGGTGAACAGCAAACCCTTTTCTAGTAATGGCCACTCCTATTCTTCCCCTACCCCTGACGTGGCTCTCTCAAAATCCTATTTGGGTAGAACAGTAGCCTTTAAAAAGAGAGAAATTAAAACAAGCCCATGAATTAGTTGAGGAGCATTTGAAAGCCAGCCACATAGAACCATCTAACAGCCCTTGGAATTCACCCATTTTTATCATTCCCAAAAAGTCTGGCAATTGAAGACGTTTGCATGATTTACAGGCTATTAATGCTAATCAGCAACCTGTGGGACCTCTTCAGCTGGGGCTCCCTTCCCTCCCCATGGTGATTCCTCAAAAATGGAATTATCATTACTGACTTAAAAGACTGCTTTTATGTTATTCCCCTTGCAAAACAGGACAGAGAAAAATTTGCGTTTACAATAACAGCTATTAATAATGAAAGGCCAGCCCACTGATTCATTGAAAAGTGCTTCCTCAAGGAGTGCAGAACAGTCCTACCATGTGGCACTATCATGTAAATCAGGCTTTGCTCCCCAGTAGAAAAGAATTTCCTAATTGCAAAATTATTCATTTTATGGGTGATATTTTATTAGCAGCCCTAATGGAGCCAGTACTTTTAAGTTTATATTCCTGTCAAAAGGCACAGTTAAGAGGTTTAATCATAGCACCTGAAAAATTACAAATGTCTGCTCCTTGGAATTATCTTGAACACATACTACTTCTCAGTCAATAAACCTCAAAAGGTTAAATTAAATACTAGCAACCTACATACCTTAAGTGATTATCAAAAATTACTGGGTGATATTAACTTGCTTTGCCCCACCTTGGGCATAACTACTGATAAATTACAGAACCTGTTTTTTTACCTTCAAAGGCAATATAGCCCTAGATTCTCTCAGGTATTTAACCCCCACAGCCAAAAAGGAAATTGAGGAAATAGAACAAGCTATTTCTTAGACACAGCTAGATCCATAGACCCACAATATTCAGTCCAATTGTTTGTTTTTCCTACAAAACAATCTCCAACAGGATTAATAGGACAGATGGTCCCAGGGCTGTGCTTCCTAGAATGGGTTTTTTGCTTGCATACTGGGACTAAAACACCACCTCCTATATCCAGCTAGTTAGTAAAGTTGTCTATATGGGCCACAGATGATGCAATCTGTTGCTAGATTATGACCCTGATGTTATAAGAATTCCTTTGAGTAAAAAGCAATTCAAAACAGTATTGCCCCTATGTCTAGATCTTCAGATAGCACTCTTTGTTTATGCAGGTCATATAGAGCATGCCCTTCCTGCTGACAAACTACTTCAGTTCTTACCTCGTACTCCTGTAGTTTTGCCTACAAAAGTAGTTCACTCCCCCATACCTAACACTTTAACACTTTTTACTGACAGCTCTGGTAAAAATGGAAAAGTGGCTATTTGGTGGGAACCACATAATTTTCTCATTCAGTCTGGATTTACTAGCACTCGGGGAGCTGAGATTGGATCCCTAATATTAGCCCTAGAAACTTTTTCTGCTCAGCCTATCAATATTGTTGGTGACTCTGCTTACTCTATTTATTGCAGAACCTGAGACAGCTCATTAAGTCTACTCTTGAACCACCCTGTGTGCCCTTTTTCTTTAACTTCAGCAATTGATAGATCTACAAATACATCCTATTTTTATCACACATATTTGAACCCACCGCTTACTGCCTGGCCCTCTAGTTCATGACAATGATCAAGCAGACCTACAAGTTGTAATGTCACTGCTTGGCCAAGCCATTCAATCACATCAATTTTTTCACCAAAATTGGAGAAACCTAACTAAATAATTTCAACTTACCCAAAGACTAGCCAAATAAATTATCCTGCAATATCCAGATTGTCAGCTCACAGGCACGTCCCCTCTTTCAACAGGTGTTAGCCCTTGAGAACTAGAACCTAATCAGTTATGGCAAGCACATTACACACGTGCCTGAATTTGGAAAACTAAGATATGTACATGTATCCATTGATACCAGTTCTCACCTAATTAGCACACATGCTCTTCCTGGAGAGTCCACTCAATATGTCATTAAACATCTTCTTTTAACTTTTGTGTTTATGGGGCAGCCCAAAAAAGTTAATAATGGTCTGGCTTATGCCAGCTGACAATTTCAGCAATTTTGTCACACATGGAACATCCAACATTCCACAGGTATCCTGTATAACCCCAAGGGCAGGCCATAGTAGAATGTGTGCACTCCACCCTTAAAAATATGCCCAGAAAACAACAAAGGGGGAGTATGAGTAAGGACCCTGCAACACTGCTTGTACAAGCCCTATTTACCATTAATATCTTAAATTTAAATGACAAATTTCAATCAGCTATAGAAAAGCACTTTGCTAAAACCTCTAAAGATATAAAACCCACTTTCACAGTGAGCTATTTTAACTCCATTTATGTTTGATTTGAATCCTGAAAAATTACTTGCACAGTGCTGTAAAAGTTTCTGCCATGCTACACAGGTATTACCCACTTTTCCTTCCTGCTATAATGCATAAGTGTTTTCAATTGCATGCTTTATGCCACATTTCTCCAAAAATTCAGCTAAAGAAATTGCATGATTTCCAGCTATAGTATCAATACCCTGTCTTCAAGTTCATATAAGAAACAAGGTTTAAAAGTTAAAAGAACTCCCTTGTCCCATTGGCTAGATAATGATGTTGTGTCAGTGCTAAAAAGCAAATTTTCACGTTTTGAAGTCCCCAGGAGAATCGGTGCTTTAAAAGTTAAATTACTTTGCCTATAATAACTCTCTACTGCTGGGAAACCAGGTGGCAACACAACTTCATGTTTTGCTTTCTGTGAGTGAATTGACTAACAGATGTGCAGTGACCAATCACTGACAGACTTTTAAAGAGGTGATGTGAAGGTCGCTGATCATGATTGGTTGCATCTGTTATTTACATAGTGATTTGTAGACATGCTAGTAGTAAAGTCTGTACTTCCTGTAAGGAAACATGGTCATGGAATATTAAATAATACCTCACTGGTTGTATCATACACAAGAAAAATTTGAATTTTTTTCCGCAATTAAGAACTGGCTCCTAATCAAGTGTGTTAACCATGTATTAGTCATTTAGTTGTTTGGAGAAGGCAAAAAACTTATTTCAATGATACTAAAGGAAATCTTGTGGCCAAACTTACAGAAAAGGGGAATAACTATTTAATCACAGGTACACAAAAGAAGCCTTATATAAAATAAAATTCTATCAGGGATATTAACAACCTGACATTGTTTGGTTTGAACAGTACTACAATCTTAATTGTGAGAGTGAAATGGGTTGTAGCACCCCTAGAAGCCTATGTATAATATTTGGTAGGTTCTGGAAATGTGTGAAATTTCTATTTACAGAGAGAAAAGCAATTTATAAAGTGTAGATGAAAAATATAAATTTAGAGAAATGATAAGAGTAAAAGAAGTGGAAGAAATGAGGATAAAGGAGAAATTCAGTCAAGTGTCTGAGTAAGAAACTGGAATTTGCCTGACTGCATTCTTTAGCTAATTCAAGAAATTTGTGGACACAGGAACCAGGAAGTGAGTGAGTAATCATCTCCTGGCTCAAGAGACTGCCTGGTGGAACAGTTTTAGCCTAAAGGAGAAGGTTCTGCTTGATTTCCACTTAAAAGAACCTTGTTTGTAAGGACTGCATTTAGATAAAAATCCAGCGGACCTAGGGGATTGAAGCCAGGTGGAACTACAACTCCCAGGCTCCTACTGCCCAAGAGAGCAATCAATACTGGCTGCCATAGCTTGATGCTATGAAGTGGGAAATCCACACTGGAACAGAGAATGTGGGGTCCTAAGTGCCGGTGTTACCAGAAATGGGTCCAGATCCGGGTCTCAAGAGTGGGTTCTCACGCAAGAAAGAATGTGAGGTGAATCCAAAGAGTAAAATGAAAGCAAATTTATTAAGAGAGTAAAGGAATAAAAGAATGGCTAATCGGTAGGAAAAGCAGCACGGAGGGCTGTGCGTTGCCCATTGTTATGGTTATTTCTTGATTATATGCTAAACAAGGGGTGGATTGT